TATGTTTAGATTTAAATTAGATTGTACATGCATGTGCTTTTATTATATTTATATATACTATAGAAGAAAACTGTAAGGAAAAGAAAACCACTGTCGTTATTTCCTTTAAGCATAATCATAAGAAGCCTCCATATGCTAAGAAATATTCACGTTAGGTTAAAGTGACTAGTTATGTACACTAAAAAATGAAGCACGCTACCCCAATCCCACTGAGAACTAATTAGCGATGAGTGGATAACTTGAAAGTAGTCTACGTCTTTGCATTTTGCCCCCTACTTTTCATTCACTATATTTTTTTTTAGTTTGGTGTAACACCCCGGAGAATTAAATGTGATTAATTGAGATAATTAAGATTTATTAGTGTGCTTAATATGAATTAATTAATTGGTTATTAATTAATAAATGTTTCTGACGTGTAAAGTTGAGTAATTCCAATGTATTTAAATATTCTCAGTATTTACATTTTCACACAGAAGTATGTATGGGCACATTTCTGAACTGCTATTTTAAATATTTTGACACATGTCCATTTTCCTTTTCTTTTTCTTTTTCCTTTTCCTTTTCCTTCCTTTTCTTTTTCCTTCTTTTCCTTTCCTTCCCGAGCACTCTCTCTCTCTCTCCACTCTCTCACTCTCACTCTCGAACTTACACTCTCTCCCTCCTATTTTGCTTCAAAATCAACCGGATCTCTAACCAAAGAGAAATTTCAAAGAGTTTCAATATCAAGAGAATGATTCGAGGCAAGATTACTGAAAGAACCTCTCTTGAATCTCAAATTTTTGAATTTTAAAACTTATTTTGGTTCGAAATGGATTTTGAGTAAAACTATGGTAGAAATTAGAGATCTTGGGTTCTTTAGACTTGATTTAGTACCTAGAACCCGGATCTAATGGTTGTCCCTTAAGATATTATGATTTGGGTCTGGATTTGTAGATTTTCATACTGATTTTGTGAGTTTTCTCGCACTGGTGTTCTTCACCGGTCGACCTGTGCGGTAGACCGGACTACACTGAGGCCACCAGTCAACCTGTCCGGTTGACTGGATTGCACACTACCGGTCGACCGGTGGTGATGCACTGCTCTGTCACCGGTCGACCGGTGTACACGGGGTTTGACCCCGTTTGGCCTGAAAATACTGTTTTGACCTCTGTTTTTGAGGAGGACCCAAATTAACTTCATTTGGGGACCTAGAGTAGATGGATTAGCATCTTTAATCCATGTTTTGAGATTGAAAACCCTTAGAATGGTGATTTGAAACATGAAATTGATTAGGGCACACTAATAGGAAATGAAAGGATATAATTGAGATTGAATTACTTTAGGAATGAGAATTGAATCCTAAAGTATTGTCTTGTATCAGTGTTAGCTGAAGACTCAGATTGAGTGGCTTGAGGAAGTGGAAGCCGGGATAGTGCACCACTAGCCACAGGTTTGATATCACGAGGTAGGATTTCTATCCCTATTCTTTGTGAGCCTGTTTTCAAAAAGGATTTTGGCCTTGCAAATGTTTTAAAGAAAGGGGCTTGTTTGCGAAAGAAAAGTATTTAAAACCCATGACTTGTTGTAGTTCATGGTACTCATGGCTTGTTGTAGTACATGGGATCACGACTTGATGTAGTTCATGGGACTCATGGCTTTTTTTGTTCTTGAGATTATAAAACAAAATTTCATAAAGTTTAATGAATGATTTCTTAAGATAAGAGATCTTGCGAATCAGTAAACTAGCTGATGGCCAAGATAGGGCAGGACCCGAAATCTCGGGGGTATGGCTTGTGCACGTGGTTGTGTAAGTAATTTGTATAAATTACTTGCTGATGCTTGTAATACGGATATTTTCATATACATTTCCTTTGAGAAAAAGGATGTGAGGTTTCGGCTATTGTGTCGGGACTGAATGTCTTATTTTATTCATTTATCGTTATTTATTTACTCACTCATTTATTTATGCATTCAATTATAAAGTCTTTCAAATTATATCCTACTGGGCCTTTCGCTCACGTATTCCATGTTTCAAATGTATTAAACCCCTCCCAAGCGACTCTAGGAGCGGTGTGGAGTAGCTGGATTTGTGCTACTGTTCGATCAAGTGAGGATTGTGTTCATCCTCTTGAATATATGTAAGGATTTGTAAACTCTGATATTTGAATTCTTAGACTGTGGATGATGTCTGTAATGATTTATTTACATGTCATGTATGTATTGTAATGAGATCCTGTGGATTGGTCTGGTAATTTATTTTAATTAAGTGTGGGGCTCGTTGGGAATTTTCTTTATTGTCATGCGCTTAACCCCTAATTGAGCTCCACGTCACCGACCCCTATTCCGGGGCGTGACATTTGGCCCATGAAAGCATTACTCTATTACATTTTGCCTCCTAATTTATTTATTCAATTTAGATTTATGAACGTTCCTTTAGAATAAGCAACATAACACAACTTAGAGTTCCTCCTTTGAGAAGAAACCAAACTTTCTACATGTCAAGTTTGACCCTAATAATAAGAAGTGGGGCTTATGCTAACTGATTGCGAGCTTCAATTCCACTATTGTTAATATTATTGACAACCAAATATTGCAAACTTCCATCTTATAGGAATCTAAGACATGCAAACGGGTGCTTCTTATCCATTTGGTCCCCTTGAATTGAATTGTCACACTGTAGGACCACTTTTAAGTGACCATATCATAGGACGGACAATTTGACTGGCTTCTTATTAATTTGCTCCATGTTTGGCTGATAAAGAGCATTTATATATATATATATATATATGTATATGTATATATATATGTATATGTATATATATATATATATATATAGTAGACGTGCTCTAGAATTTTGATACAAAAGAACACTTGTTTTTTAACTCTACGGTACAAACACATATTTAAAGCTACCACAAGGAAAATACGAATTTTGTGCCCTAGTGCAAGCCAAGACTCATGTTTTGTCACATGATATATATAGACAACTCCTTAAATCGGCAACCCTAGATTCCTCAGCTTAGCATCATTTTCTATTTTCTATTTTATTATTTTTAATTATTTTTAATGTTGGTCTGTACTACTTCTGTAGGTTTGGAAAAGTCATGGTGAAATAAGCAACACTTGTAACCTTCTCTTAAATTCCTAGGCACTCCATAGTTCCATCCGATTATTCATCGAATTGACCTATACAAAACCCGATGATCACGATTAACAATACCTTATAGAAACAATTTTATTTTATTTTATTTTTGAAATTACAATGCCTTTTTTTTTTTTTTTTTTTTTTTAAATTGTCCGACTTTGGTTGGGGCAAACCTAGGATTATCTTGTTAGAAACTTTACAAGCTATTTTTCTCTACCAACTCTTTGCTACACTTTTCCCTACCATAAAAACTACAATAAATACCCTCCTCAAGAAAGGCCAAATCGTAGTTGGAATATTGTTTAGCAGTAAATCAACACCTAACTCAATATTAACTTGTAGAATTCAAATATTCTACTAGCGTACTTCCAAGTTTTCTTTTTTAAAGGGGACAAAATTTTTATGTATAAAAAACAAAGTCGAATTAAATTCAACTAGCCTTTTTACTTTACAACACTAATTAGTAATATGCGTTTTTAAAGATAAAACCACATTGAAATGAAGTGACCTTCTATGGTAGGGACATCTACTAATGATGCATGTTTCTAATTGTTGGATATAATCAAATTATATTAAGATTTACCAGTAGTTAATTTTTTCTAGACATACCATAAAACTGATATAATCAAATTATATTAAGATTTATCGGTAGTTAATTTTTTTCTAAACATACCATAAAACCTACGATTTCTAATCAAGATTTGACACTTAAAAACAGAGAATTACAATAATTTATTTTTTTCAAGACTTACCATAAATATCTCCTAAAATATAAATGGAAAATCTTATATCATGTAATGAAATAGAGAGCAGAATTTTAAATGTCATGCCAAACTTATTTACAATTTTGAACTGTGAGATAGCTTGATAGAAGTTAATGATCTGATTGTTGAAAAAAATAATCAATATTCTTTCATAGTTACAAAAAAAAAAATCTCAAAAAATTTTTTTTTTCTCAAGATCTTTTAGAAATTTTTATGATAGGACATGCAATTTTTGCTCTATTTTTTTTTTTTTTGTCAAGATCTTTTAGAAATTTTTATGATAGGACATGCAATTTTTGCTCTATTATAGAAATTGTTGTTTTTAATAATCCATTAGTTTTTTAACGGTCAGAATTGTATATGTTTGTATTTAAAGTTTATGTGTCCAGTGCAGAATTTTACCCATACTCCATATCATACCATGGAAAAATTAATACACAGCCAAAACACAATTTATACTAATAGAGCAAAATAACATTCTCTACCATAAAATGAATGCACCCATATTCTTTTAATACTAACTAAAAAATTCTTTTAAAAAATGGGAATTTTTATGACAATGCATGTATTTTTAATTACTATTTTTAACCATTAAATTAATTTTTAAAAATAATATTTGTGCATGCCTGAATTAAAAATTTACAAAAATATGATACAAAATTATTCTTATTCCAGTTCAAACTATTAGCTAACTAATCCAACGCTCACAACACAGTTCTAGAACAAAATAATTTTCTCCACAAAAAATGCACCCATATCTTTACTTACTGAAAAAAAAAAATCTTTTTTAAGAAAAAAGTACAAAATTAACATTTACTTGGATCTAAGTTCTAACTGTTAAGAATTATTAAAAAAAAAAAAAAAACCTCTACCAATATTGCATTTTCCATAACCCATAAAAAAAAGATTTAAAAAAAAAAAACAGAGAGAGACTAGTGTCCAAAATTTCTCCCACTAGACACGCCTTCCTCATCGCATAAATGCCGCGTATACCGATAGCCTGTACAACCAACCTTTTTGCCTGTCATCACCTCCTCCCTCTCTCTCAACAATTCATTTCTTTTTTTGTCTTTCAATGAAATAAACATAAATAAATAAAACAAAGCCCATTTTGTATTCTCCCACTATATATAAACACAACCCATCAAAGATCTCAAAAAAGTTTCTCCTCAGAAACCCCACAAAACTCCCCCCTCAGGAATAGCAACAAGAGAGTCTAGAGAGAGAAACAAGAGAGAGAAAGTGACCGGTGGCTTCAATGGCGGCCGCCGACGGAGTCTTCAAGTGCGTGTACGAGGGCTGCATCGCCGGCTGTGACACCGCCATCGATCGCCGTCCATACCACCGCAATTGCACCTGCGCTCTCCACAAGTCTCGCAAAATCCACTGCTCCTCCCACGGCCTGCCCAAGAGCAAGTCCGTCTCGTACCCGATCAGGAAGTCCTGGAGCGAGGGTTGCTTGGCCTTGGCCGCCGCGGCGGGGGCTGCTGGCTCCGCCGCCTCGTCGCCGTCGTCCTCTCCGGCGGTAGTCGCCGGAGGAAAGATTCGCCGGCTCGGATCGTGCGAAGAGGAGGAGGAGGACGGTGTCGTTTTCTTCAAGGTCGGGAATTGAATGTGTCGTTTTTGTCGGTGAGATAATTTGTTGGAGAAATTTTGTAATGGTTGAAACTTGGAAAGGGTTTTGAAGAAATTAGACGGATCTATATGTGTGGGGGTGTGAAATGGAAAATGGCGTTCTTGTAATGATGTTCATCTAAAATCCTTTTTCAATTGTATCTATTTAGTTGTGTAAATATTGGTGTTCCTTTATTGTTTATTTTTTTCCCTTCAAACAATTAATAGTCTTAACAATTTTTGTTCATTGTGTTATACCAATGTTGTGTGTTGTTTTACAGTTACAATTTTTTTTTTTAATTGGGGTTGAAAGTAATTCGAACTAATAATCTTAGTGGAATTATGCGCGGACTTACCGCTACGTTAGGTTGATTAAATGTGCATTTAAGTTGTGCTTTTAATTACACCTTGGCATTACTATGAAGATCAATAATGTTATCGAAGTGTGTCGTCATATGAAGCATTAATTTCTCATCTATTTATTTTCCAGCAAAATTTTTTATTTTTTTTTTCTCAATAGAATATTAGGATTGTATTTGCCCAAGATCATGGGCACGCACTTGTTAATTTTTTCAAGAACATGGCAGGCACTTCTCTGGCTTGGATGGCTCATTTTGGTCGGCTGTCAATGCCATGTTCGATGCATTTGATTCAGAGCAGGTTTTTTATTTTATTTTTTTTAATTATTTTTTTCGAAGAGAATTATACGGTAGAGAGTATTAAAAATGGAAAAAGCCAACCAACGGCTTTTGGCTTTAAGTTGATTTTTATATTTATTTTTTTGAGATGGGAATTATATATTGGGTGCATTTATTGGGGTTTTTTTTTTTTTTTTTTTTCCACATCTCTTTTTAATAAAACGAGTGAAATTGTCTTGTTGTAAAGTATGTAATTTGTATGCATATATATATATATATATATAAGGCTGTGTAGAAAATTATATTTGGTGCATTTATAATTTACAACACAAATATGAACAATAAAATGCTTAAATATGTACACGGAGGAGAATTGTATTGGGTCTATTTATAATTTAGAACGCAATAGTATAAAATTTAAGCTAATTTTCTTTTTCCGGAATATCACAATTCAGTTTGACCAATCTTGATGTACAAAAAGTATTCCTTCGTATCTGAATATCTTGTATAGCTTTTTATAGTCGGTCATGAATGAATTTATAGACGTTATTTTTTTAATATTTTTAGATAAAAATTAATTTGTAAAAAATTTGTATGGAACAAATAACATAAGATACCTCTTTGGTACTATCTCTAATTATAATTTGACAAAAGTATATAATTACATTAAATATAATGTGTGATTATTTAAAAATTGAAAAAAGTACTTTGGAGTTCCTCTTATGTTGCGGTCACAATGAGAACATTTAAACAATTGATCAAGGGTTGTGCTTGTAGCTTTATAACTTGTTTGACACACCACATTACAGTCATTTACATAATAAAAAAAACCAAAACATACAAATGCATTAAAACTTGCGGCCTAAAGTCATCTACAGTCGTTTACAGTCATCATAATTTATGTTTCCTGAATATGTCAATTCAAACTTAAAACTTATGGTGTTCTTGCAAAGTATCCTTAAAAATATGTTATGGATAACAAAATACAAGTTTCAAAATTTAAGTGATAAGAAGACGACGGTATTTTGTTTAATAGGATTAGCTTTTGAGCTTTCTATTAGCCAAGAAAACTTTAATTGTGTGTTTGGTAGGGTAGAAAAGAGAGAGTAAAGAAAATAGAAGAATGATTTTAGAGAAGAAAACAGAATTTTAGGTTGTTTGGTAGATAGGAAATGAGGAAAAAAAGAAAATGAAAATCCATGGGCCCATTAATTTTTAATTCTTCCAACTTTGGGAAGAAAAGAGGAAAAAAAAGTTAGACAAATAAATGAGGTGTAAAATAACAATTTTAACCTTCACCATTCATCATATTTTTATTTGTATTGAGACATTTTTGTAAAATGCCTTATATTTGATATTTTCTTTTCACTTTTCTTTTTCTTCTACCAAATAATATGAGAGAAAATCATTTTACTTCCTTCATCTGTATTTCACTTCTCATTCCTTTATCTTTTCTATCCATCCTACCAAACATAACATAAGTGACAAACAATGGAATCAAATGGCAGGGAAACTATTACTAAGTTTTGTTTAGTTAACAGAAAACTCAAAAACTAATCCTTTAATAGCTAAGGGGATGTTTGTTTTCTATATTCGTCCATGATTCATGGTTCTCTACAGTGTTTTCGCTCACAAAAAATACACGTAAAACGAGAATAATTTTGAATCATGATTCTGAATACATAAATCAAACATGACCTTAAGTTTCTGTTTGTTTCCAATAGTGAAGCTAGCAATACTTCTCTACTTGCCTAATTCTTTTCTTCATATTTTTGACAATCAGCTTCCAAGTTTAGTTCCCTGGGACCAAAGCAATAACAACTAAACCCAGAAATAAATAAATAAATAAAATAAAAGATAGTAGTATATGTGTAACACCCTGAAGAATTAATTAAAATTTATTAAGGTAATTGAGATTATTAGTGTGCCTAATCTAGATTATTAATTGAGTTTAATTAATAAATGTTTTTGACACGTGTGAGTTTAAATAGTTCCAAGGTATTTAAATTATTCTCAGTAATTTATTTTAACCCAGAAGTGTGTATGGGCGCATTTCTGGACTGTTCTTTTAAAATATTGACACATGTCATTTTCTTTTCCTTTTCCTTTTCTTTTCTTTTTCTTTTTCCTTTTTCCTTTCCTTTCTCTTTTCTTTCCCGTGCACTCTCTCTCTCTCTCTTTCACTCTCACTCTCCCGCTCACTCACTCTCTCTCTCTCTCTCTCTCTCTCTCATTTGTGTCCCAAATCAAACGGATCTTGAACCAAGAAAAGATTTAAAGAAGTTTTCAACGTCAAGAGAAGGATTCGAGGTATGATTACTGAAATAACCTATCTTGAATCTCAAGTTTTTGAATTTCAAAACTTATTTTTGGTTCAAACCGGATTTTGATGGTTTTTGAACAAAACTAGAGTAGAAATTGGAGATCTTGGGTTCTTTGGACTTGTTTTAAGACCTAGAACCCAAATCTAGTGGTTTCCCTTTGAAATATCTCGATTTGGGACTGGATTTGCAGGTTTTGGATTGATTTTCGTGAGCTTCTCTCGCGCAGCTGATTCCACCGGTCGACTTGTGCGGTCGACCGGATCACATGGAAACCGGTCGACCTATGCGGTTGACCAGATTACAGGCTGACCGGTCGACCAGTGTGCACACTACTGGTCGACCGGTAGTGTTGCACTGCTCTGTCACCGGTCGACCGGTTGACACGAGGTTTGACCATGTTTGGCCTGAAAGTGCTGTTTTAACCCATGTTTTCAGGGAGAACCCAAATCAGCTTCATTTGGGGACTTGAGATGAATGGATTAGCATCTTTAACCTTGTTTTAAGATTGAAAACCCTTGGAATGATATTTTGAAACATGAAAATGGATTAGGACACACTAATTGAAAATCTTAGTACATAAATGAGATTTGGATTGCTTTAGGAATGAAAATTGATCCTAAAGTGTTGTCTTGCATCAGTGATCGCTGAAGATTCAGACTGAAGGGGCTTGAGGAAGCGGAAGCCGGAAAAGGCAACGCTAGTCCCAGGTTTGATAGCGCGAGGTAGGATTTCTATCCCTTTTCCTTGTGAGCCTGTGTTCAAAAAGGATTTTGGCCTTGAAATGTTTTAAAGAAAGGGATTGCTTTGCGAAAGAAAAACTCTTTGAAAACCATGACTTGTTTAGTCATGGAACCTCATGGCTTGTCCAGTCATGGGGCCCGCGGCTTGAGTAGTTTGTGGGGTCGTATTAACGATTTCAAAATGTTAATGAATGATTTCTTAAGCAAAGAGATCTTGTGAACTGGTAATAGAGTCTATTGCTGTAAGCCTAGATAGGATGCGGAGAGTGCATCCTCGGGGGCAGAACCTGAAACTCGGTCTGGGTAGGCGAGGCACTTGGTTAGGTAAGTAATTTGTACTAATTACTTGCTGAAGCCTGTAAAACAGTTATTTTCAGTTATATTTCCTTTGAGAAAAAGGATGTGAGGTTCCGACTGTTTTGTCGGGACTAAATGTCTTATTTTATTTACTTATTCATTTATGTATTCCCTCGCATATTTATTATAACGTTTATTTCAAATTATATCCTACTGGGCCTTTCGCTCACGTTTTATGTTTTAAATGTACTAAACCCCTCCCAGGAGATTCTAGGAGCGGAGCACAGTAGCTGGATATTTGCTACCGAGCAGCTGAGTTGTGCTGCTATTTGGAATCAAGTGAGGATCGTGGACATCCTCTTGGACAAATGTAAGGAATTTGAGAAATTCTGTAAACTTATATAATATTTGGACTAACTAAACTGTGGTTGATGTCTGTTGTAATGATTATTTACATGGACATGTATGTACGATACTGTATGTACTGTGGGGTGGAGCCCTGTGTGTCAGAGGCTCCTGGATTCTGTAGTAGTTTATTTATATTTTAATGCAGTTAAGTGTGGGGCCCGGTCTGAGAATCTGCTTTATTAATCCCTAATCGAGCTCCACGTCACCCATCCCGTTTGGGGGGCGTGACAATATGTAATAGAGAAACCATACTTATTAATTTAAGAAAAAAGTTGAATATCAAATCAACAGGATCTCTCATATGTTGAAACAATTTACAATCCCAAAACTGGTTCACATAAAGCTTATTTTTAAAAACATATTCATCAAAGGTAATAACAAATTGAAAGAATGTATTTTACATGACTTAAAGTTTAGCATCACACTCATTTAACTTTCAATCGCTACAATTAAATAGTAATAACAAAACATAATTATAAGCTTAGTTTTTAATTCTAGTTTTGCTACAGTTAAAAGTTCTTACAAAAAGTCACATATAACTTTTCTGCTACAGTGAAAAGTTCTCATATAAAATCACATCTCAATTCAAATTAAAAACTTGAATCCGCAAACTGAATGAGGCCTTAATAATTGTAGATCACAACCAAGAAAGACTAAGTAGGTTGGTTAGTTATTTTAACAAACGCTAAGCATGCAGTATTTGAAAATGTCAAAAGAAGACAAAGCAATACAAGATAAAAAGTTATGAAGAAAAGCGAAATTTATCAAAAATAATAATATTCATCCAAGATTTGAGTTTAAGAATTTGATTAACTCACCCACAAATCTGTGACGGAAAGT